TATCTCTATCTCTATCTCTATCTCTATCTCTATCTCTATCTCTATCTATCTCTCTCTCTCTCTCTCAGCGCCTGCAAGCTGGAGTGAACCATGAGAGTAATTCTGCGGAAAGGACCTGCACTCCAAACCCAGCATTAAAATTAAGAACCTTACAAAGCCGCCTGTGTCAAAGGCACAATTTAGGCTACAATCATATGTGGAAATGCCTTCGTGGACTAGGTCGTGCTGATTCGCCAGTTCCTGCAAAGACAAACGTCTACTACAGTGCAAGCAACATTGGATTGGTTCGAAAATTGATTCTCTACCCAAACAACTAATGACCAAGTTTGTTGCGTTATAGGGAAAGTAGTAAATAATCCTTTCAGACTGCTGTCATCAGGTGAGTGCAGCTTCGAAGCTCAATGCGTGCATGTCATGTTCACCTGAAATGGCTCGCACACCATTCTCAAGCGGTTGTTATGGGCGATGAATATGTGCCACGAGAAACTTGCAAAATGCGACACGTGAGTGGGTTGTTTTTCTCATACTGTCATACAGCTGGGGTTGAACATGTTTGAACGGTTGAACTGTATTGAACAAATCGAAGGTGTGGCTCGCAGTATCGCCTTTGACAGAATCAGCGTCACACCTGCCCAGTTTCGTTCAAGGGCACTCGAGTGGTGGAAGAAACATCAAAACGTTGGCTTGGCAGTGTCAGATTATGTCATTTTGTTTCAATGATTCAACTTCTTTCCTCGTCTTCATCTCTACAAACACTCATGTATTTGTATAACTCTGTAACTTAACCTCAACTCATGGGCCGAACTGGTGGAACCGAACCAAACCTTCTTGTTCTTGGAACAGCATCCAGGGATCCAGCTCGGCAGCTTGCCTATCCATGTGTGCGAGGGATTTCCGATCATCAAGTTGACGAAAAAGAGAAAGTTACAGAGACGAAAAGAAAATCGCTAGCTGTTAGCTTTGCTACAGTCAGGACCTACTAGTAGCATCCTGGTTTCTAGTAGCGATGCCCTTCGTTCCTAAAAAAGCTTCTTGCTACTAGTAGTAATGCCAGGAGCTACTAGTGGCATAGGTATCAAACAAAAATATTTATCGAATCAATAAAAAATATTCACCGAATTAAAAAATACTTATTCACCGAATCAATAAAAAAATATTCATTGTGCGATGAAATAAATCCCTTGGAATTCCCAGTCGTGTAGGTGGCCGGTCCTCTGGTCCGCTGGTCCCCTGGTCCTCTGGTCCGCTGGTCCTCTGGTCCGCTGGTCCTGGTCCGCTGGTTCCCTGCAGTCCGCTGGTCCACTGGTCCGCTGGTCCCTTGGTCCTCTGGTCCTTCGTCTTTCTTTCTTTCTTTCTTTCTTTCTTTCTTTCTTTCTTTTTCGCTGCTGTTCTCCTTTCTCTTTTTTGCTTTTGCTTTTCCTTTTGTTCGCTTTGCAGAGACGAAACCAAACAAGGAAGCAAGCAAGCAAGCAAGCAAGCAAGCAAGCGCGAGCTGCTCACCTTTGGATCTGTTGTGCTGCTGGGGGGGGGCGCTGCGCCCCCCCCCAACCCCCCCCGCGCCACGAAATCTGCACTTCATCCCCGACACCCGCGCCTGCCACGAAATCCATATTTTGAGGTGAACTCCCCGGTGCAAAATTTTCGAACCAAGCAAATATGTCTCCCCTATCTATCTATCTATCTATCGATCCATTTATCTTTCTATCTTTGTATCTGTCTATCTGCAGTTCAACATCCACAAAGTACTACACCTGCCACGATATCTGCACTTCAAGGTCCACAAAGTCTTGCGCCTGCCACCAAATCTGCACTCCAAGGCCCACAAAGTCCTGCACCTGCCACACTTCCACATCAAAAAGTCCTGCGCCTGCCACGGAATCTGCACTCCAAGGCCCACAAAGTCCTGCGCCGGCCACCAACTCTGCACACAAAGTCCTGCGCCTGCCACGAAATCTGCACTTAGGCCCCAAAAAGTCCTGCGCCTGCCACTGGCCACCAACTCTGCACTTCAACATCCACAAAGTCCTGCACCTGCCACGAAATGTGCATTGCAAGGTCCACAAAGTACTGCGCCTGCCACGAAACACTACGACTACCACTACGATACTGCTGCTATTATAGTACTGTTGCTACTCTTACTGCTACTGCTATTTGGAATATTTTTTGAGTCAGTATCTATTTTTTATTCATGCGTGTAGAATATATTTTTTTGATGCGTTAAGTATTTTTTTGATCTCTCACCCGCTACTAGTAGCGTCCTTGTTACTGGTAGCGAGGAAAATCGTCCGGCATGTCCATTTTAGGATTGGAGGATCTCCACAATTTCATCGTGCTTCTCTATTGGGGTTCAAAGCGAAAGGACTTGCTTCTGCTGTGCCTCATTGACATGCTGGTAGACATGGCAAATACCACCTCAAGCTCTGCTTTCATGAACTAGAGTTCAAAAAAATTCTAGCAACGCAAAATTCAGACAAGATGATGTGTAAAGTTACACTTCCGCAACTCCCCATCGTCTCATCAAGCCTAGTCTTCAAAACTCAAGTCATCGCATCTTTCTGAGCGGAAATCCCGCACCGTCTCGTGGTCTTTGAAAAGTCCTTTCGCCTAAGGGGCGTGTGGTCTTTGAACCGTCGGTGGCCCGAAGTCTCGGTGCCTTTGGACCACTGAAACGCCTGAAACGCCCGAGGTCTCGCTCACTGTGTCTTCCGCCGACAGCATCGGCGCAAGGTGAACTTCAGCCGGGCGGATGCAACAGCAGGCTCAGTCCAGGAGCCCTGCACAGGCACAGCGGCGCATGGAACTCACTCACTGTCTCCCTTTGAAGAATGTCAAGCAAACGATGCCGTTCTCTGAATTTCCTAGCGTCCTTGTGCAGCGTGCATATATATATATATATGTCACTGCACTCACGTGAGGTTCTTTTCCGAGGTTGCGCAAGAAGTC